AAAATAAAATAAAATTTAATTAATAAATCAAAATAAAATAAAATTTACATAATCATGAAATGCTTTTGCTTCTTCTGAATGAGGATGTTGATCTCGACGTTCTGGTGCTGCACTGTATAAATCCCAAAAAACACTAAAAAACAACAAGATAATCTCAATAGGAAACTTTAAGATCAATTTTTCTTACCACCACCAACTAAATAAAAATCCTGGTGCTTCACCAAGTGACATTTTATTTGGCTCCCATTTCATCTATTCATATAAAATTAATATTCAAATATATTTGAAAATATATATCCTTACATCCGCACAAAATCCCTGAGCAGCTTTTGATGCACCAATATGGTACAAATATTCATAAACATACAAATTCAATCTAAATAATAAATATAACAAAAAAAATAAAATAAAAAAAAAATAATAATAATAATTTTTACTTTTCTTTTGCATGCATATCAGATGGAGCAGTAACACCTTTATTTTTTCCGTACATGATTGATGATGTATTAATTTGGACAAAAATAAAAAAAGAACAACATTTTATGTAAAAATCTAGATGAAAGAAATATTCGATCTATAATGTATATATATATGCGTATATATTTTATATTAAGATATAAATGAAAAGATATGATTGATTGATTTTATGGTAATAAATTCTGTCAAGTAGAAACCATTGTTCCATTCTTATACCTCTCTATTTGATTGATTTTAAAATAGGAATTAAATAAAATGAGAAAAACAACTAAGAATTTAATTTTTAAAAAGTTATAATTTGAAATCATATCTTTTTTTTGTTTTTCTTTTTCCATGTTGACCTAGATTTCTAACGAAAAGATTTGCTCTTTGGTAAAGGTTCATATGAATTCATTGATTGGTTAAGAAACCAAACCAATGAGAAGTTATTTTTAAATTTGTACAGCAACTTAATCATAAAAACCACTTGTATAATTTTGTAAGTAAATATTTTTCGTAATTCTTTTTTTTATATTGAATTTGTTGAATAGTGAAAAAGTAACATTTGAAAATAACCTGTACAATTTTACTTCAGATATACCGCTTCACCTGCACTCAGTGCTCTGTATGAATTATATCAATAAGTATTGTGACTATAATTAAGTTAAAAAAATGTTGCCTAGCAAGAAAAATCGATAAGAAGATTTTAATAAACATTAATAATTTATAATTTCATTTTATTAAACCTCCAATAATGCAACAGCAAAATATAGGTGTAAAAATAATTTTTTTCAGAAAGACTTATTTTTATCAGAAGAAAAAAAATGAGTATATATACGAAAGATGAAAATTTTCAATAGAACAATATTACAGCTCTCAGAAAAAAAAACCAATATCCTACAGGTTTATATAAATTTATCGATACGTAGAAGATAGTGTATATGGAAGCAAATAGAGCGGATCAGTTGGGAATATCCCTTGGTGAGAACAAAAATAATCTTTGAATTACAGTAAAACCTCTATTAGTAAACGCATCATGTTTTGAACAAACTCTCGGTCTCACGAGGAGATTTTTCCTGGAGACGCATCTCCCATAGGTGAACATTAGAGTTCGCTAGGTTCAAAATTTTTAAACCGTACTTTGATATTTTCAATGAACTTTTCCAATTGGAATTAAATAGTTCCCTAGAAGATACGCGATACTCTTTTCCAGTTTTGTCATATTCAGTGATTAGTACATCGTAAACATTTTTTAGACGACTAGAGTCTGGCGGATTCTACTGAACGCTTCTGTACTTTGAACTTGAACATTATTTTTTCTTCCAGTTTCGATTGCTATTTTAACCTCTTTTAAATGAACACATGTGCATTTTTTTTTCTCCCTCTCTTCTTTAATAATTCTGCCTAAAGTACTAAAATTATTCGTCATTGAATGTTATAATTGTATGCATGAGAGAAACCAGTGACATAATAACGACAGCAATGGTTTATCACAATGTGAATTAGCTGAAAACTCGAATATTTCACTTGGTTTTGTATCCAATAGTTTAAAATGAAAAAGAAAAAGCATATTTAAATAGTTATTAAATAAACTAAAATCAATACATTAAATAAAAATTCAAAAGTTTTAACGTAACAAAACTTAATAAACATATATTTGCATGAATTACACAGCAACATTCATCAAATTTACACATAACAAGAACCAAAACAGAAAGTATAAAACTTTGTAAAATAAAACAAAGTTTTGTATTCATAAACACTGAAATGAAGAAAGATAAACAAACAATCCAGAGAATGATCTCTAATTATTTTAAAAACTAGTAAAGAAATTTATATTCTGAAAAGCCCTTTGTTTTTCATTTCATAATAAAACATATTACACCTTCAATCAAGAAATGTTTCTCAATATTGAATACATTTCAAAAGTTACAACAATGTTTACTTAAAAGAAATTTTTACTATAATGAAACTTGTTTCTCATGAAATTTTATGTCTTCTGAACTATACATATACACCTCATTAAATTTCATCCCAATATGAACAATCATGCTCACATAAACACTTTTTCTATCAGCAACAATCGTGTATAATACTATGAAAAATAACTTGGTTTTACCGATTGTATTCTTAAGAGTAAAAGAAATAATGTGCATAACGAATATTAATAAGTGCAAAAAGATTTATTATTTAGAACATATTTTATATGCATATGATTGGAATAAAGAAAAATTAATTTTAATTTTATTCATATTATAATATTTGATGAATCTCATAGGAACATTATATAAATGTGAAATAAAAAAGAAATGAACTCCTCGATATATTTCATTGTCTCTTTTTTTTTTTATAGAGCTTCAATCGAATAAATTAATTATCATGGAGATTTTATGAAAAGAAGAAAAGTTATTCAGTACATTATACTACTACTACTACTACTACTAAAAATATTTCTTCAATTTTTATTATATTAATATATATTTTACTTCAGGTGTGTCTCAATTAACAATAATTGTACTTGCTTATGTAATGAAATACCACCATAGTACATTAAAAGAAGTGTATATATCTTTTGTTGACACACAAACTTCGTGAAGTGAAGGTTGTTTTTTTAAACACAATTAATATATTATGACAGTTGCTTAGTTTGATTACATAAAATAAACCTTGAGTATGTCATTTGATTAATTATAAAAGAAAAGAATCTATTGGAAATATTCAATGAATTTGGAAAATGAATAAATATATTTTTGTATAATTTATTTTTACACTAAAGATTTATATTTAAAATACAAAATAAACAAAAAAAAAGCAAGAGTGAAAGACTTGAAAAATTGAGCATTAATTTTTAATTTCATTGGCTATATCATTGTCATATTCCATATCTTGATCTAAACGTAATTCAATTAAATTATTTTCACAAAAATTTGAAGCTACTATTGATGACATATCTAATTTTATTAATTCATCATCATCATCATCATCTAATAGTAACCTCGTTGATTGTTGTTCGTAACTAACAACATCATCAAAGTGTGAAAGTCTATTGACTTGAATTGATATATGTAAGTTCGTTGAATTATTTATATGATCATTTACAGATTGAGAAGTTTGTTTATTGGTAAATAATGTATATGTGAACAGACTAATGGTTTTGGAAAAACCTACTTTAATCATTAAAAATATCGTGCCAATGAACGGTATTGAATAGATCGACAGGTCGTTAAGAAACATGTTTTGACAAATGAATGACGCTCAAATCAATAAGCATCGAACAGAAATACAAAAAAAAAAGGAAAAGGAAAAGAAAAGAAAAAGACATGATCGAAACGAACTGTCGTACATAAAGTATGAGTAACGAACGATATGTCATTTATATGTACAGTAGATAACCATTATCGTTTTCTAACAACGTAAATACAGCGCACATATATATATATATTCAAACTAATAGTTCGTATAAATAGTATTATGCATGCAAGATGAATAAGCTTCTATTTTTATTTTATGACCTATTAATTATTGTGTTACTAAGCATGTATTTTTTTAGTTGCTTGTTTTTTTATGACGAACATTAAGATTAGTTAGAACATCTTCGATTTTGTTAATATAATATATTGTTTGTTTTTCTATTTCATGAACATATTGATCAAGTTCAAGATATTCATCATATGAAAGTTTTTTGTTAATATCTAAATATTAATATAAATAAGTTTATATATTATTTTTTTGGTTTTGAAATTATCAAAAGCTTTTTCTTTTAAACTAAAATACAGAAATTCAGTAGAATTTTGATTTTCTAAAGCATTACACAATGTATAAATTTCTTAAAATATTTTTTTTTTCTGTACCCATCAAATGTAAATATAAATCATGATAACCTTGGACAACAAAAGACATGATAAATATTTATAACCAATCAAGGACTAAAGGCTCAAATAGCATTTGTAAAAATAATGAATGAATGATTGTATTTTTTTACATAGAACAAACATTAATGCATTGACAAAAAAGTTCGACATTTTTCTTTTTTCTTCTTTGATATGGTAGATTGATTCAAATTTTTTATAGATTTTTTTCAATTGCTAGTGTATTGAATGATTCTAAAGAAACAATTCTCATTCTTGGAGTAAATATTAGTATTTTCTAAAACAAAAAGTTTCTTTAAATTTTCTTTAAATTTCACTTGATCTTTGATAAGAAATGCATATATCTGTTATATCTTGCTGATTGTAACGCTTCTAATTAATTTTTTGTAATTACCCAATTTGTTTTCATGGTCACTAAATAAAAAAATAAGTAACATTAATAAAAAAATATTATTGAATAACAAAGATACTTAAGAGTAAAACAAAATTAATGACGAAGATATTTTAATTTTATTATAAAAAACTTAAAAAAATTGTCTCTTTATATGATCAGATAGTTGTTCTATGATATTTATTCATTCTTCAACTAATATTATAATAATAGAATTTTGATCTTCATCTCTTCTTATGTCTAACAGTCTATACGTTATTAGGGTATACAAAAAGTGATGTTGATAGAACAAAAGACAAATACAGAAGCAACTTTATTAAATGTATGAAATAATTATTCTGATTATTTACATTCAATTATATTCGTGTTGAATCCATTTATCGAATGATTTTTGTAGTCTTCTTTACTTAAAGAAGTCATGAACTTAATTATTCATATTACGATGCAACAATTTTGACTCATGTTAATCGTTTAGATTTTGTTTCATTAAGTCGAATAATCAGTAACAGAACTGAAGAATTACTTAAATAAAAACTTGATGAACTTGTTTCTGTATTTCATTTTTTGTTTTTGCGGACAACACTTTTCGTATACTTTAATATATATAGACGAATAGGCATTAGAGGAGATACATCGAAGACAAAATATTATCTAATAACCCGCGATGCAAAAGTATCCGTACAAATGTCGAAGCCTATTGTATATAAACAGAAAGCCCTAAAAACCGAACTTTTCCACTCATTGATAGAGCAAATTATGTACTTAAAAATGTATGTTTTCAAAAAATGCAGGATGTAGTTTAATAGTTAAAATTTAAAAAGTTTTGAAACTACCAAAAATGACTTGTAACTTTTTAGGCTTTTTTCTTGTTTTAATCTGTATCATAATGACTAAAAAACACGGTATATCGAGCGAAAACTTGAAGATAGTAGACTATGGAGTCTAGACTATCTACAGACTGCCTGAAAGTATGACTCAATAATTTTCTACGTTTTCATGGTAACCACCAATCACCGTCATTTACAAAAAATCGAGACATCGCAGTTTTGGCAAAAATCTGTACCATTTGTAACGTTCAAAAATTTCAAAATGTGTCCAAACTTTTTTTTTAACTGAAGGATACGAAGCTACTAAATATGTAGAGTCAGTTTTAAACCATTAAAACTAACACAAGCTGAACGTATGGAAGAATTACTAATTTTACCTTGATTACAAAGTCATTTTTTTAGTGGTTTAGAAACTTTTTAAATTTTAAGTATAAAATTACATCCTCCATTTTTTTAAAAACATACATTTTAAAGTATAGGTTTTGTTCTATCAATGGATGGAAAAGTTCGGTTTCTAGTACTTTCTGTTTATATATAATGAGCTCCGACATTTGTACGGATACTTTTGCATCGCGGGATACTACCGTCACATATCATAACAAACAGTTCTTATTGAAATTTTATTATTATTATGATATTAGTTGAAGAATGATCAAATATTGGAGAAATTTAGAGCATTGTTTATAATTTCAGACCATAGAGAGAAAACATTTCTTTAAGAGTACCTCAGCTCTTTTTCTGACTCCCGAATACAGAATAACTGGTTAAGTTGAAATATTTACCACTAACATTTGGAAGTATTCTCTATAGATAAAATTGTCCGTTTTCTTTGCTATCCGGATTTACAGGATCCTGAAAGTCAACGTCCCGAGTTTAACACCGAACATTTATGTATTTCGAAAAAAGAAAGTGAGATTTTGGAAAAGAATTTTTTGCCTCGAACATCTGTCTCCTTATTCTATCTGTGGTAAAAGTTTCAACTTGATCGCTTGTACCGTTTTCGAGAATCAGAAATAATCGAAAAGAGGAGAAGGGATTCTCTTAAAAGTTTTTTATAAGGAATCTGTCACTATTTTTGGTATCTCCTAAGTATTTTACTTTTGATTAAGTTTTAATTGTCCTGTTTCTAAATCATGTTTCATTATCTTTTGTTCTTCTTCATCTAAATTTCCATCTTTATTTTTATCATATTTATTAATGATTTTTTTAATATCATCATCCGTATAACCACGAGTCTTATTTAACAAAAAAAAAAACACAAGTGAATATAATCCTATAAACAAACAAAATTTTCATTGGAATTTTACTTTTAAATTTGTTTCATAATCAATTGATTTTTTTCTCGGTATTAATTGATAAAAATTCATTGAAAATTTTTTTATTTTATATGTTTTTAATGTTGTATCAGATTCAATTCTTGAATATGTTTCATTTATAATAGCTAAAAACATATTTAATAAAACAAAATAAACAAAATAAATATATGAAAATAAAAATAATGGTCCAATTATTTGACCAACATTTCTCATTGCATAAAGATTAAAATCACCAAGTATCATTCGAAATAAAGCAAAACTAAAAATTAAAATGTTTTTTTGTTTTTCGTTAGAAAAATATTTTAATAAATTTACATTGATGTACGAAATGATCTCCATTCAGTTAAATATCTACCAAATAAAATCCAACCAAGTTGAGTATAAGCAAGAAAAATAATTAAAAAAATTGATGTAAATGCAAATATTTCATTTAAACAAGATGAAATTGTTTTATTAAGTAAAAGCATTGTTTTATTTATATTTAAATATTTAAAAATTTTTACCCATGTTATTGCAAGTGTTAAACCTAAATAAAAATCTGAATTGATTTTTAAATTAAATAATTCATTAAAATTTGGATAATTATTTTCAATTTTTAATAATTCACTAAGATGTTTTGTTGTTGAAAAATGATTTAATATTTCATATAGAATACATATAAATGAAAGAATAATTGTAATAAGATTTATTAAATTCCATAGATTGAATAGAAATAAATATTTTTTATCGAAAATCTTAAAAGATAAATATTATTTTTAGAAAATTTTCATATTTAAATTTACTTCAATAACACATTCAATTATTTGAAGGATAACAATCAGAGTAAATATTATTTCACAAACAAAAGTTAAATAATCAATGGAAGATATGTACTAAAAAAAAAGAATATATATATATATTGAATTATAGTTTTGTTTTATTTGGATTAGATTATATATGGATGAAATATAAATCATAATTGCCTAGTTCATTCATCGCTAATGTGTGAAGTCTTCCAACTGATAAATCACTTCTGAGTCGATGCTATGTGTCATATGTAGACTCAAATGAGTTCTGAAAAGAATTCGTATCCTTAGCTTATTGCTGTGGAGATACTGCATTTTTAGGATATTTTTTTTTTAAATAAATGCTATAGTCTTTAATCAGGGTTGTCGAAATTTTTTAGCAAGGAAAAGGCTAAAAATCCGGCTGAAAGTGCTTTCACCTCGAAATGCTAGAGGTGGTGACTACAGGGAAGAGAAAAATGAAATCCACTGTTACTCGGTCCTCTTACAATAGACAATCGTAACCAGATCGGTCACCTTGCAACGATGTCGTCGGCTTATTTTTATTTCACTTTCTTGCAGATAAAAGTAAATCATGTTTCTATTCAAAGTTAGCACCAGAAAAACTAATCTTCAAATCTAAGAATCTTTACATTAAATAAAGTAGAGTATTTCCTAATAGGTTAGTTTCTCTTATCATTCGATATTTACACGATTATAACATAATTAATAAAATTTACTCTATTAACATACTCGAATTAATTTCACTGCTTGGATAGATGTTGAAGTAATAGCACCACCTACATAACCAACAAATACTTTCATTATATAATCAAAAAACAAAAAGTAACTATATTACCTGATGATGGATATTCCGCTAGAAGACTAAATGAAATATTTTAGTATCATAATTCAAATTCTATTTTACCGTATATGACAAAATAAATTAATATTTGGATTATAAACAATAACATCAAAAAATATTGCTCGTGTACCTCGATTAATCCATGAATTTCTTTCTAATTCTCGAAGAATTTCCATTGTTGTATTAGCACTAAACAATTAAGAAGATATTTTGTTTGTTTTTTTTCTAAATTTAGTTTCATAATAATTAATACTTTCGAGTAAACAATTGTACATAACCACCACCACCATATTCAGATACAACACCTGTATATACACTTGTTTTAGTCTGTTTAACAGATGTATAATTCCAACTGTAAATATAATATTTTAAATATGAAATTAAAAAGTGTACTGAAAAACTTACGCATCAGATGTAAAGATATTTAATGAATTATTACCAAATGAATCTTGATCTTCTTTATCAATTGTATATTCTGCATAACATTTTTGAGTAAAATTTCGTTTAGCAAATTCTTTATGAAGTTTACAAGAATTTGGTTTAATCTTTAATGCAAAAATTTATCAAAATTAAATTATATAAGTTGACATCACTTTACTCGAACTTGTCTTAATCGTGCAACTCCTAAAAATGAAACAAATCCATTTTATCGAGATCTTCATAACAAACTTTTGCCTATTACCAAGAATTTTATTTTCATTATATATGTAACCATAATCAGTTTTTGATATATTGAGTTCAGTATTATCAATATTATACAATCGTGAATAAATAGGTCCTTGTAATATCTACGAAAAAAAAGAACGACAAAAAGTTTGATTCAAACAAAAATAGTTTAATAAATAATAAACCTTCCAAAAATCTTCACCATTACTTCGTGCAATATCATTAAATGTATTTCCATCGTTGGTTTTCGAAGTAACGAATGCTTCTCTTAACATATTTGTATAATAGTATGTCGAATTGTTAGCTCGAGTAAAACTGACTGACCAAAAAAAAAATATATATATAGTTTATGGAATATAAATTAAATGATTTATATATTTCAAGAAATAACTGCTTACGAGAAAGTGATAATCATTAAAATATTTTGAAAGTTTCAACAAGAACAAATGTGCCGTTCTTGGGATATTCAGTTTCCAAAAAACAGTAGATGATTACAGAAGGACACAACAGTCAAATCTACTTGAAAATTGAGTATTTCGAGAATCATACGTTGGTTTTCTTCGAAACTTTCAAAAATTTTCAATGATTATCAATTCTATCTATAAGGAATATTGAAGAACAAAGTTCTTCATTTTGATGTTTTCAACATTTCTCTACTCTGACAAGAAAATTCAGTAAAACAGCCATAGCTCTTCAGTAATAGTCTATGAACTCGAATTCTTTTAAGTTGTTCTTCGTCTCACATAGATCTACACATAGTCATAATATCGGGTCGAATAGTATCCGACAGTTGGAAACGTTCCATCGTAAGTCGGTGTTTGAATAGATGTCTAGACAAATAGAAATAAACCATTCATCCTTATTCCATTAATCCATTCATAGGGCTATATCAAGACTCGACAAAGATCAAGAGACACAGCAAAACAAATGTGCAAAAATGTTAAGGCTCAACATATTTTAACTCATTCCTTATTGCTATCTATCGGTTTGAAGTAGATCTATTAATGGATTATAGGATTTACTTTATCTTTGCTATATTCTTTGAAATATTCATATTCATGATGTATTTTTCATACATTCTTAAATTAACAATATCAGAAAAACTATTAGATACCAGTGAGTGATGATGTTTTGTTCTCGATTATATAGAAAGCAAATAGGATGAATATAATCGTAATCGAAAGGAGAAACGTATAGACTCCAAAAAAAGAAAAACAAATAAAAATTGAAAAACTCGAAAAGCATTAGAGACCTGCATTGAAGTCATTTTTAGGAACGACAGAAGTTCTCTAAATTGCTTATCACTAAATTAGGTTGAACACCATAGGTTTTCTTTGAATGGTAAATTTTACTCTTTGATATTCATTGTACAAACTGATATTCATCAAAAACAACATTATAAGTTTCCTTATTCAACAGTTTAATAGATATAAAAGTATATTTCGAGTCTGATGGACAAAACTAAATGTTGATTTTTTCGAAGGAAAAGACAGATCTATTTATATTCCATCAGAAAAATCGAATACTTATCAACATACTTGTACAAATAATAATAAAACATGAACCATAAAGAATAATTTCTCCTATTGATATACTATTATTCTCTTCGGTATTTCTTTTTTTCAATTTAACTTAAAGAAAAAAAGATCTTTATAAATTATTTTAATTTCTTTTTTTTTTTATTATTTTCTCACTATTTGATTGAATTGTCGATGAACTTGAATTTGTATCTATGGTCAAAATCGATGTTTGAGATTGATTCTTTTCCATTCTATAAAACTATTTAATTAACGCGCGAAGATAGACGATTTATTTCAAGGAAAACATTGCTTAGACAAATACAACAAAAAGCTTATTGATTGATTAAAATAAATGTGTATATGTTTAATGTCTGTCAAGAAAAATAAAATTCATGAAAAGACTAGACAAGATTCACAACAACAAAGTTTTTTTTAAATTTAATATTGATTCATTTCATTCCACTTGATGGTCTTGGTCGTTCATCTTCACCTTGTCCATAACGTAGTGATGTATGACTTTGATAATAAGGCTTAGTTGTTGTAGCAGGTAGATCTGTAAGTAAACTTTGTATAGGTGTTTGACGTTCTGAATTATTTCCTTCAAGTTCATTACGAATCATTTTTTCTAAACGTTCATGTCTATCTTCTTTACTCAGATGATCATCCTAAAAGAAAAATATTATTAATATTTTTATTTAAATTTTTCGAAATTTATTTTTCATTTACTTCAGAAATAGTATTTAAAATTTTTGTTAAAGCATCACGACGTTTCATTTTACTCTTTTCTAATCCTTCCAATTTTGTTAAAACATCATCAATCTATATTAACAAAAAAAAAACAAAAACAGAAACATTTTTCTTTTATGTATTTAAATATATTGAATATCTTTACTCTTGCAACAATAGTTCCAATTGAATATTCCATTCGATCAATACGTCGTACTACAATTGCAAATTCATCATATGTTATACGATTTGCATCATTATTTTCATTTCCATTTTGATCTTTTACATTAGATTGTCTAAATTCATTAAATTTTATCATTCAATTAAAAAATTAAAATATTTTTATTTACTTTGTAGCTTGTGATTCATTTTCTAAACCTTTAATATCCATATTTATATTATTTTCTAATGTAGTAAGATCAGATTTAAAATGAAGTTGTTCACCACCACGAAGTACTCGATCACCATCAACATCATAACGTGAAAAAACATTTTCAATTTCAACATCTGTATAACCACGAGCTTTTAAATCACGACGCCATTCATCGAACTAAATTCAAATAAATTATTGTTTTTTATTTCTTTATTTAAATCTATTTTTACTTACTTCAATGACTCCATCTTTATTAAGATCAGCACTTTTTAATGCATTTTTTATATCAATAATACGCTATAAGAAAATAAAATAAAAAAAGACAAGAATTCGAATCTTAAAACAAACGATTAAAAACTTACATCTCGTTTAACATGTAAACGTTCAAGCATTTTTTCATAAGATTTTTTAAAATAATCACCTAATTCAAATTCAGATTTTTGTGTTGACATATCACTTTTAACTTCCGAATATGTATCATTAATAATAGCCAAAAACATATTCAATAATACGAAAAATACAAAAAAGACATATGTCAAAAAGAATATTGGACCAAGAATACGATGTGCTTCCAAAATTGCTTAACAAGAAAGAAAAACAAACAGATTAATCATATTTAAAAAAGAAAAACAAACAATCAAAAAAATCTATTTTACCATTGAAATCAAAATCTCCCAAAATAATACGAAATAATGTAAAACTAAAAATTTCGAAAAAAATCATTTTCTTTTTTTTTGTTTGTATTTTTTCAATACTTGTTCAACTTACATTGATATTGCAAATGTTTTATAATCATCAACCATTGTACCAAATAATAAATAACCCAATTGTGCATATGCCAAAAATACAATCATAAACATAACACTAAAACCAAGTACATCTTTTGCACATCGTGATAATGTTGTTGATAATTGTGTCATCGTTTTGTTGAATGATACATATTTAAATATCTAAATACAAAGTTACCCATATTAATAATCATTTACATTTTAAACCTGACAGCGTTTCTACAAGTCTATCTAATTTGATTTATGGTAGCTATAAGCTTAGTATTATCAGTTTAGAGTAATGCAACTCGCAGGCCAAGTTCGCGTATAAGGTATAGATGTGAAAAGTAACTCATTAAATACATAGTTTACTGGTCGTTCTATTAAACTATCAATGATATGTTAGAAATAATGCAATCTACAGGTCAGATTCCCATACCCGTTAAGTACTCTAGATCAGTTCGAATGTGATAGTGCGTAAGCATGCATCTAACCCAAAAGAAAAGATTTCAGGCTTGGCTATAATACATTTACACGCAGCGGAACAAATAATACAAAAACCAAAGGTCTGTAGGCATACTAAAAACAATCGACAATGATCAGAAATACTCGAATCTGAACTATAGAATGTCTCCACAATAACCCATATACCTCAAGAAACATCTAGGTAAATAACCGACACTGTCTGAACTGGTTGGATAGCTTCCAAATTTGAACCCCGGATCAAAGTTCGGGTTTGGTGCATGCCTAGTAGTATCTGATAGAATGTAGTTTAGTATAGATAAGCTTGTGAGAATTTGTTCAAGTCTAGTAATATTGTCCTGATTAAGTCATGGATTTTCTATCATTATTCGATTCAATCAAAATAATAGAAAAAATTGATTTCTGGTTGACTTTGGAAAAAAAAAACTTATAATTCTACAAATTATTATTTTATAAAATGTCTAAAGTTGCTTACTTTAATCCATGCAATAAAAACAGTAAATGCAATAATATTATTAAATTGTGTTTGCCAATAAGTAAGAAATTCAAAATCAGCAAAAATCTTTTGATTTTTTAATAAATCATCAAGAATTTGTCCAACTTTAATTTGACGATAAACATTAAATGCAATACAAATATATGAAATTAAAATAATAACTACATCAAGTACATTCCAAACTGTTTTAAAATAACGAAATTTAAAACGTGCTATCTAAAATAATAAGAAATTTTCAATTTCTAAAATTAAAAATTTAATTTTTTTTTTAGCATACTTCAATAATTTCTTCAACTGTATAATAAATCGTAAAAATAACAAATAAAATTTCACATGCTAATACAAAATAATCCATTGATGAAACATACTAAAATTATAAATATTTTTTTCTTTTGTTCATTTTAAAAATAATTAATTCTTACACGAATTAATTTAACTGTTGTAAATGTTTTTGATGGTACAGCTCCACCTGATGCTGGAAATTCTACAGTTAATTTAATTTGACAAAATAAATTTATATTTGCATTATAAACTGTAAAATCAAGAAAAACAACACGTGTACCACGATCAAGCCATAAATTATTATTAAGACTATTAAGTTCTGCTTTAGCATCATTATAATTAACTGTTAAATCTTGTACAAAACCACCACCATCATATCGAGATATTAAACCACTTGTTGATGAACCACGAAGTTCCGATGATGTTTTATAATGCCAACTGAAAACAAAAAAAAAAAGACTTTATGAATATTAAAAACAATAATAAATATTTTATCTTACGCTGATGATGTTAAATTATCATTTTGTGGTTCATAACTACTATGATCTTCTTTACTACTACTGTATGATGCATAACATTCATGAATTGTTGATCGAAATTTTTTATGAACAATACAAGAATCATTTGT